CACGTAACGGAATGAATGAATCCTCATTTGCGTAGTGGTGCGCGATTGGATCTCACCGCAAAAAAAATGCACTGCATGTATTGCGCTGCTTGCATATGAATAACGGTGCGAGAATGTAATCGTCAAGTCGTTAGATTTGTCGCAACTCGGCCAATTACGTATTGTCTTAAAGCAGCTGCGCCGATGGAGTTCAACTGAAGTTCAGGGACAAAATACGACTATCTAATGAATTGTCATCAAGTCTAAACATTTCTTGGAAACTCTGAAAACCTTTGCAGACAGTTTATGCACATTTTTCATCCAGAAATGAAAACAGATAAGGCTGAAAATGTGACGTGCCCTAGTACTACGTGTACGGTAGGTACCATTCAAACATAACAAACGTATGAAATAATTCATCTGAATCACTCCTGTTTCTGAATTATCAACAGATTCAGGAAACACTTACAAATAATGACTCCCCAGGATGATGACAAGCATTTCCTGCACTGTGCTCAGAGCGCTGGCGTGACGGACTTCACATTTTAAAGGGGAGTCAATGTTTGATTGCATCAAGTCAAACTTTCAACTTGAAAAAGTTCACATTTTATGACATACATGTTCCCCGACTTTTGGGTTCTTAAACAACAACATCCATATATTATTTGCGCTGCAATTTTAGGATCATGCCCTAATTAACCCTTACGCCCTAGGCCTTTTTCCTAAGATGCAACCCCAATCCTGCAAAATACTCCAACTACATGTAGGCCTACCTCCATGTACATTGTAAAAAAAATGGATTACAGGCTTCAATTCTCCAAAATCATCCATTATTTTTTGAATTTGTTCACTGCGGTCTTATTTTGCATAATTAATCGCCGAATCTGCTCGCTTATCACATCTGTACTAAGCTTGCTGTGTCAGGGGATATTCCATGTAAAAAAATGTGTTCATTGGAGGGGCAACCACTGCCTCAATCCTGCGAAATCCTCCAACAATCACTGTGAAAATGTTGAGGCAGTGCCGATGATTTTCAGAAGCAGTCCGAGTCCGGATGATTCAAGTATTATCGAGGCCTAAATTTATGCATGGTCAGGCATAAAAGACACAAGGGGCAATTCCACGGTTACTCACGTTACATTTTTGATGTACTTTTGACATTCCTTGGGCTGTAATTACCTTACTGAAAAGGTTTAATAACTGTTATCCCCATGGTAGATAAAGTAGACCTAGACCTACCTAAGCACCAAAGATGACATCCAGAAAAATGTGTTATGTATAAACAAGACGCACAAACTCGGTTACTCACATTACATTTTCGTAACGTGAGTAACCGAGTTTGTGCGTCTTGTTTATCATACATAACACATTTTTCTGGATGTCATCTTTGGTGCTTAGGTCTAGGTCTACTCTATCTACCATGGGGATAACAGTTATTAAACCTTTTCAGTAAGGTAATTACAGCCCAAGGAAACTCAAAAGTAGGCCTACATCAAAAATGTAACATGAGTAACCGTGGAATTGCCCCAAGGTACAGCCTAAGACCTTGACACAATGCATCCTCCAAAATCAACTGACATATTGTTGCCAAACAGCCTCAATCCTTCAAAATCCTCCACCTATGCCAAGAGGATTTTGGAGGATTTAGGACAGCTAGGGTTAATTACAGGGTGCTCTGGCCACATCCGCGACATCACAGGAAAACCTTTACGGCGTGAAACACCACACGTACCGGTATGTAACAGTACTTATCTGGCAACTTTCCAAGTGTCTGGGAAACATATCTTTACTGATGACGGTTGTAATCCATCAAAATTACAATCTATAAAAAATGCAGTCTCCAAATTATTCTCCCCCATTTCACAGTCTGCGTTCAGTCCCCCAGTTCGAACAATCACAGGAACGTGTCTCAGACATACAAATGAGGATACATAAAAGACGACAGAACCTCGCAATAACCTCAAGTAACCTCGCAGCTCATCTACTCAGCGAGCTGGAAATCGCATTAAACCTATTTATGTAGTTTACAATTTGTTGCACAGCCAGCAATAAATGATGCCGTTGCACTGTCGTTACTCATCCTGACATGTCGAACTATGGAAGTAAATACATTGACAATAATGAATGTCAATTGAAATGCACGCAAAACCGTCCATTACAAATTGCACACTTGGCTACTACATGTACATGTACTTAGTACTAGTGGATTCCTCCAATGAAATACATGTATGCAACTTGTGGATTTTACCAATGGACGATACATGTGCACATGTACATGTACCGATACATGAACATTTTGTAACAGAAGAGCACTGACATTAACCCTAACTCCCCAGGCCTTTTTGCTAGGATGTAGCCTCAATCCTGCAAAATCCTCCAATTGGCCTCATGGAAAAATAGCATATAGCCTCAATCCTGCAAATTCCTCCGTTATTTCTTGAATATGGTGCATGGAGGGATGACCACTGCCTGAATCCTGCAAAATCCTCCGGCTATGTCTGTCAATAGGCTGAGGCAGAGGCAGTGACATCCTGGAGCAGTGCGGAGGATGTCAAGTACAATCAAGGACTAAATTTATGCTTGGCTGAGCATAAACAACACAAGGTCCGGCCCAAGACCTTGACACAGTGCGTACTCCGAAATCAGCAACGCACTTTTGCCATGTAACCTCAATCCTGCAAATTCCTCCAATTTGCAAAAAGGATTTTGGAGGATTCAGGGCGGTTAGGGTTTTAATGAACATGTACATGTACATCTCCTTCATTCAGGTTTCCATCCGTTTATTCACAGCGGAATAATAAAATTAAAAAAGTGGCTTCCAGAGTCTTATCCCGAGGACACTAAAATTACTGCACGCAAACTGGCACTGCCGTACACACGCATTTCAAGTACGAATAGATGAGGACATGAATAGCATTTGTAGTCGGAGAATTTCTGTTTGCCTAGCAATTCATCCACAGTGGGCGAGTTTCTAAAGCATCCCATCGGTTTCTGGGCATCATCTTGAGATATTTAAGTTATTCTGGCGCCGGTTTGTCTGGGAGAGTAAGTGAAGTTACGAGTATTGGGCGATCACCAGATACTCAGTCAAAATTCTCAAACCAGAACCAGAGGGGAAACGTTTACTATAGATGTTGCTCTCGCATCTCAAAAATGATGTGTGATTTTGTCATGCGGTAAAAGAAATACAGGTAGGGGGAAAATGACATACAACAATATTCAAGGAGGTACTGTCAGTCAAGACAAGTTTATTTTTATAACTCTTACAGTATATTTTAATGGCAAAGCAGACCTATCTATGACATCCTTTTTTTGAAAACTTGAGTCTTGAATAAAAATTTCTTGGATTGTACATTTCAGATTTTTCCAAATTATGCGAATTGGACTTAACCCTTGTACATTTGTACCTGATCCATCAAAATCCATACCCCTGTTTTTGAGTCATTGGGCGGATTCAGTATACCTCCATAATGAAAAAGTTGGGGGATTTTGATGGATTCAGGACAGTAAGCCTAGCGGTACTGCAGGATTTCGATGGATTCAGGACACCGTCATATTGAGCAGTTGGGGGACTTTGATGGATACAGGATCTCAACAGTTTAACTCCTTGGCTACAGTGTGTACGAGGTACTACACTGGAGGATTCTGATGGACAAAAAAAAATCCTCTCATTGATACATTGTCTTTGCAACGATCTCAAATGTCTAAATCTTATTCAAAAGACAATTTAACAAACTTTGATGGCTCGCAGGTTTCCCAATCTGGTTTGAACTTGTTGGTGTACAGTACATGTATGTATCGTTTGGAATTGACCTACATGTACATGTAGGTATCCATTTCAGGAGGGCCTTAGCTGCAAGGCACGATGTACATTGTACATTATGCCAAATTGCCAAACAAGTTCAGGTTCAGGAAATGTTTGCATTTGTATGTGAACCTGAGCAACATGATTGATGAGTGGTACATGTACAATGCAAGTGGGCTGATGGGAAGAACTATTTGCCTTTTACAATATGGGCCTTTTGTTACATTATTAGAAAGCAAGAGGCGACAATAATACCAGATTTTTAAAGGCCTCTGTATGTGAACATTCCATACGTATATACATGCGAGCACATACATGTATGATGAATGTATTTGATCATTTTGACACACATTCAACCCAGGTTGAACTTAACCCTGGGCAAACCCAATGCCGCCCTGGGTTAAGTGCCTGTGACTAATGATCAGAGGGTTAGGGGTTCGAATCCAGCTGCTGGCCATATGTTGTGTCCTTGGGCAAGCCACTTTGTTCCCACTTGCCTCTGGGCACCCAGGAGTATAAATGGGCACCAGTTGGGGAGTAACCTGCGATAGACTGGCATCCCATCCACAGGGAATAGAAATATATTCTCATTTATTTTTTCATGCCACTAAACGCCGGCCTGACGGGCCATATTGGCTCGGGCCATATTGGCTTGTGACAGACTTGTCTGACTTCAAATATTTGAAATGCGACGGTCGAGATCAACGTTGATTAAAATTGACAAAGATAAAGTAAAGAACAGGTAGTGGAATGGCGATACTTGACCAATTCTTACGAGGAAATTTCAGCTATACAGTGTAAATATTTTCTCAAGAAGCACTGAAATTTTATGCAAAACTGGCTTTCAACAAGCCTAAACTTCCCGCCTATCAGGATTTGCAAGTGCGCTTGTTTAAAATTGACCGATTCTTACGAGGAAATTTCAGATATAAATATTTTCTCATGGAAGCACTCAAATTTTATGCAAAACTGGCTTTCAACGAAAGTATGGTATTTGACAAACAATGAAACCACACAACTAATATGATTAAAAGAACACGGTGGATGCGTCTCCTGGAGACTTCTCACATTTTTTCAAATATTTGAGTAAAAAATGCTATTTGGATATTTGGTCGATGATTGATTATTTGAATATCTGGTGTATTCCGCATAGCTCTAAAAAGGCCAGAGGTGTATATTCATGTGCATCAGTTTTTGGACAGTTTTCTCTACTCACCCGTGATAATGCTGGCTAGGCTGAAAGCCAATAAGCAGAAAGTTGCTGTGTGGCTAAGACAAGCCATTCCTGAGATAGGGTGCATTTTGGGCACGTAGTTCATGATCACAGATGCCGGTATACCTGCAAGTCTCGGCATCCACACATCAACTGAACGATCCTGTCGAAACACTTGGCAGGACCCAACCTGTTGATGAGCTGGTAAGAGTGTGGACGATTTCAATCCATCAATTTAAGTACATGTATTTCTGAGTGGTCATGAATGCTGGTTCAAACTGTACAATTGGAGCGTCCTGATTGGTTGGAAATTACCCCGAGGGTACAGAAGGTATCACACTCTCCATGTAGACGGCAGGGTGAATATTGAGAGTGTAGTTGATGTCAAATTTCAGAGGTAGCGCTGTATGGTGGGATCCACGGAGCTTTGAGCACTGGGTGGTTGCCTCATCTACAAGCACATGCAATTTTCAATGCCAAGACGAGATTACCTGGGTTAAAAAAAAAAAAAAAACAGACGATTAAATTTTTAAAATGCTGCAAAATGATTTGAATTATTAGGTACTTTTCCAACATTTAAACCTGTAGACCTGCTGAATGAGATTTTACAAAGACTACTGGTACACGTACCAGCGTACCAAAAAGCAATCTTTTTGTTAAAGGTCCTACAGAGAAGCAGTGTCACGTGTGTATTACATATGGTAAAAAAAGGTTATTTCACTTTTTTCCCCATTACTTATATAATGTGTATGTGATGGAAATGCACTCAATGGTAGTCAATAATGTTTGTACATTAAACATTATTTGTATTACATTTCCAGACATTTTACGATAAACTCCATATGTCAGGCGCCACGAGTAAAGAGCAATGAACTGATGTATTATTTCCCGAAATCATAATACAGCATTACATGTATGTGCCTTCAAAGATCGGGACTAAATTCATAAACAGAAACATGAAAATGCCAGCGCTCTTTGACCTGGATTGGTTTCACGATGCAGTCACAAGACAAGGGGACCTGGGCCGTGCCTGCATATTAGGTGCTAAGGCCAAAAAAAAAAAGTCTCCGGTTTCTGGTATGGAGCTTGTCCAAAAAGTGGTGCGGCGACGCGGCTTTTTTTTTTTTTTTACCCGACTTTTTTGCTTCAAATGTCGGCTGATGACTGCAAATGGTGCCCGACTAAACTTAGTGCAAATATATGGGAGTCCAGAGAGGCCACATAAAGCTTATTCTCGATCATAACCCCATCTAAAAACACGTTGAAATTGCGCAGCAGCAGAATTCCAGTTAAACCAGTGAGTTTGGCGGTTTTGAGACATCATCTTTCATTGAAAAAAAAAAAATTCATATTGCCGACGCGCATGGCTACGTCGATGCGCGCGCATACCAGAAACCGGAGACTTTTTTTTTTTGGCCTAAAGAGGGGCTATCATGCATGCATGTTAACATTATACACCACAGTGCTTCTATTCTGTGGTCGGGACTCGGGAACACAAGTGACATTTCCATTTTGAATCCACTCAAGTTTTTAGTATTTTGTTTTTCTTTATAGGCCTCGATTTTAAAGGTCGTGGTTTCCAACACAAAAGGTTCACACAAAACCACAGCTTTATTATCAATTCAAATGTAAGTATTTGAGCAACGACAACCAGATGCACTTTTTTTCTTTTTTTTTACATAAGGCCAAAAAAAAAAAGTCTCCGGTTTCTGGTATGCGCGCGCGTCGCCATAGCCATGCGCGTCGGCAAAATGAAAAAGTTTTTTTTTCAATGAAAGATGATGTCTCAAAACCGCCAAACTCACTGGTTTGACTGGAATCCTGCTGCTGCACAATTATAACGTGTTTTTAGATTGGGCTATGGTGGAGAATAAGCTTTATGTGGCCTCTCTGGACTCCCATATATTTGCACTAAGTTTAGTCGGGCACCATTTGCAGTCATCAGCCGACATTTGAAGCAAAAAAATCAGGTAAAAAAAAAAAAAAAGCCGCGTCGCCGCACCACTTTTTGGGCAAGCTCCATACCAGAAACCGGAGACTTTTTTTTTTTGGCCTAAGGTTACTTTTTTTTTTACATAAGGTTACTGTTGAAAAATGGAAGTTTGGGATCAGACTTTGTAAAAATTTCTGTAAAACTCAATGGGAGAAAAACCACTCAAATAACAAGAAATTTCACATGTTGTACATGAGCCGAAGACAATATCAGAATTATTCAATGTATTTTATACTCTTTTTAAAATGCTTGTTTTGTTTTACAACTGGAAAATATTCAAAAAGATGTTTAATTAGTTTAAAAGTTCTGACAAATTTTGGCAGTACTGTTTGCTAAAAGGTAATACTACAGCCAGATTGTCTATTAAAGTTACACGTACCTGATCGTTTATGTATTGAGAACATTTAAAATTAGACCCAGAGTAAATTGCTCTTACTCAAAATACAAATGTTCTAATAGAGTACACTGTGATTAAATTAACATTATGACAAAGGAAGTATCAATATTTTCCCTTCTAGTACTGCATAATTTTATTAGTTCTTTCTATTGGCAAGCTGTCTTTCATCACTGTTTTACAACTCATCATTCTGGCATTTCATCATGACTTTTTAAAAAAGGCTTACTTCTTAGACCTTGACCTAATACTAGATGTTTTCATTAATAGATGATGATTTATGCACAATGCATGGTGTGAGGCGGAATCGAAGTGTGGTTCAACAAGGAAAAATGTATCATTTTGCAGATTTAAAATGTCTTAAGAAGGCTGAGTTACTGGAAATAGCAGTAAGAAGCAGTAGCAGTAAGAAGGAGAAGAAAGACAAAGTATTGACGTACATGGATGATACTTTACTAGTTCTATGCAACAAGCAATGCCTTCAACTTGTTAAGCTTCAATCGGATCGCCCCAAGCCAGTGAACTTACATGTACAATGTAGTTTCCAAAAGCTGACAAATTCCAACTTCAGAAAATTTGGGAAACAAAATACTTTTTTTAAACTGTCTACTTTTCTGAAACCCATGGAGGGGTTGAGAACAGGGTTGAAACCGCTCCATAGGGTGATGAAACATGTAGACGATGAACACTCCACAGCAGAACAGGTCCCTATTACATTGTACATGTGTACATGACTACATGAACTACGGTGTACATTGTTTCACACTCTTCTTGAATCCTACGAACATGTACATGAGTATGGAGGTTCTTCTACATGCATGTACCGGTATGTATAAGTTTACATGTTTACATTTCAGGCTGTATTTCTGTTTGAAAGGACGGTTTTACAAGATGATGAATTTGATTAATTTAATGCATTAACCACATCCAACAGTGAAATAACCGCCAATTACAGGAATGGGGGGGAAAAGAAGAAGAAACACTACCATAAGTTATTACATAAGCCATTCTCTATAAAAGTATACAAAATTATATAAAATATTTAAATATATTTTAACAAAACAAAAGTATTTAATGAGAAAAAATTAACCAGCGGTGGGAGGGGTATGGATGGGATGGCTGTGGGGAATAACTGAGAAAAACCTGGGGAAAGGGGGGGGGGGGGAAGAAGGGGAAAAAAAGAACAAGGATGACATTACTGGGGAAAGGAAAACATTCAAGAAAAAAATATTACCTTGGACAAAAATAAGTATTTAAAAATAAAATTGTTGTTGGTTTCAGATTACAGTGAACAGTAAGTATAGGGTGCAATTTGTCCAATTTACAAGACCACAATGTACACGTACATGTACAATGTATGTTTAGTAATGCTCATTAATTTTCATTTTTCTTTTAGGATTACAAACTAACAATGTTATATATGACTTGGCACCATGGTAACATTCTTTTAATGTTTCTGCCAGATACAATGAACCTGATTATCTCAGATTTATCTCAAGCAGGCATTTTCCAAATGGCTTGTAATGAATTTTTACACTTAACATTTCCTTCTAGGCATTGTTACTGTTTATCATTTCAATTATTGGTGTTCTTTTTATTAGTATTCTTACTGAAATAATGTTTTCCATATTAATTAAAATTCTTATTTCAGTAACAAAACTTACAATCGTACAAGTGTTTTGTGATGCAAAATTAGGCGACTGCAGATGGTCAATAAATTCGGTGCCACAATTTGTAATAATTTGTATTTTACATTTGTATGAAAGCCAAAATATATATATATATAAGATACTAAGCATCTACCAGCATTAAATCAAGGCAGATCGATGATATATTCACAAATTACAAAAATGAATTATCCCTCAATTTGCTGAAATACTAAATGTAATTCATACAAAATTTGAGGATTTATTTTGTAACATTTTGATTTCAGCCCAACTTGTTTTGGCAACTAGTTTTAAAACCGTTATCTTTCTGGTTAGTGGTTGTTTCCTACAGGGGTGAGTCGAAAAAAGCGGAAACCAAACCCCAAACAATATATTTCATATTTAACAAAATATGTAGCCCCTTAAATAATAATGACTGGAAAGCCAATTTCCAAAGCTACTTTCAGATGAAAAAATTACTGAAATTGCTCAATCCGTTCAAAGAATATCACCATTTACACGCAATGACCCTAAAACCTGTCTCGTCCAAAAAAGCAATTTATTGTGTGTTTTGACTGTTTGGAACAACAAAGAAAATGACACAGAATACTTGTTTCAACAACAGTCACCAACTGTAGTACACAATATTTTGATTAACAACCCTGGTTAGGCAAACAATATGATTTATAAAATCCACTTTTTGAAAAGACGGGCCTTCAAACGGACTTTGTTGCATATTGTTAACGTTTAAACTAAGATTTCATCGCTGGTGATGTTTGAAGACAATTGTGACGACGATTGTTGAAATTCGCATTTTTAGACGAGACAGGTTTTAGGGTCATTGTGTTTAAATGGTGATATTCTTTGAATGGATTGACCAATTTCAGTATTTTTTTTTCATCTAAAAGTAGCTTATGAAATTGGCTTTCCAGTCATTATTGTTTTTGGTGTTACATTTTTTTTTAAATATGAAATATACTATTTGGGGTTTGGGAGTTTCGCTTTTTTTTTACTCACCCTGTATGTGAGTGTGAGTGAAATGACGAACAATTTCTCGGAACAACATTTGAAATGTCTAATACATCAGTCGTTTGCCTAGTTAGCTGGATAGCAAACATCGTTCAGGCTGCTTTCAGCTCAATAAGAATTTGAGTAACATTGGTTAAAAAGTTTACCTTGAGTGATGGAGATACATGTACTACAAAATAATTTTTCAAAATTTAAGCTCTTTTAATTTTGACTTTGCGGCGTCAAAAGTACCGATGCCACTTTTCCTAGTTCCGGATCGGTTTAATCAGTTCCGATTCCATCAAAAACTGCTTCGCGCACAAAAAAAGGAAATGACGCAAGCAAAATCAATTTTTCAGACAGAACCACCCCGAATCAAGCACATTTTCTGATAAAGTATTACTTAATTTTTCGAAAAACAGTTCATTCAAGAGAATTCCAGTAAATTTTTAAAAGAGAATCAACGTAAATAATTTTGAAACTTTTGTCTGCAGCGCGACGGCACGAACACGCACAGACCGAAAACCCTTGACCCATCAAAGAATACGTCACATAAAATTGATTAACACACATGTGGCAAAAAAACACACGATCATTCGTTGGCGAATTTTCAAATGTTAAAGACTCTACAACTTATTTTGATTCAACAAACATTTGATGCAAGAGTTTATACGACTGTAGAGTTCGAACAAAATATATTTGAAATCACACAGTCCGAATGATGTACCAAGGAGAAATTTTATCGTCGATTCACGGCTCCCGTGATTTTCTACAAACCGTCCAAATATGTCAAAGTGTGAGTTGGAAATCTGGCCAAAATTCCTTTTCTAGAGATTAATATTGAAAAGATCTTTGTGCATCAAGAAGCTTTCATTTTCCTTTTATGCACTTCGTCAGAAAAAAATAGCATTGGAGACCAATTCAAAAGAGGTAGGTTTTTATTTGAAGCGATACGGAACTAGAAAACTCCAGAACTAGGAAAACGACTGCCGTAGGCCTATCAATTTTTTCCCAGTGACTGACCAACATGGTGGATTTAAACAATTGTAAGGGCAGGATATTTTAAATTTTTTCAAAATTGCACCCAATTGGAATGCACCCAATTGGAATTGTCTGGCAGCCAATATTCAAATTGTAATCATGTGCCGATTTTTCAGTTGATGTCTCTTTCAAATTTGAATAAGTTTTTACAGCTAGAATATAAAAAAAAGTAGAAAATAGCAAGTTAGGTAAAGAATCTACTTTTGGGATGAAACTCCAATATTGCCTGGAGAGCACATCTTAAATCTTGGATTCAACTATTTTTGTTTGGTTTGACATCTGCAGGGGAAAGATTCCCATATCTGGCCATCACTTATTTTTCCCTTAATTAAATGACCTATCAGCCATCAAAATGTGAGAATATGTCCTAAAAAGTCAAAATAAGCAGTGACAAATTTTGAATTGTTAGTGTTACTGAGAAAACACTTACAAAATTTCAGACCAGTCTAATAGGGTTTGTGCACAGGGTGAAAAGTGATGGCCAGATATGGGAATCTTTCCAGTTTTTGTCAATCTAGTGTTTAATATTTTTTTTTAAAGTGTTAAACTGTTATGCATTTCACACAACATTAGTTTCAGAGAAAAAGAAGAAAGCATGGAAAAGACAAAATAACAAACAAAATATTACACCAGACACGAAACCAACTTGAACATCACGACGCCTAAAACAGCGCCCCAAAATGTCCACACACCCGGTCGTTTCTCAGGTCACACGCTGACCGAAAGCCAACAACAACACAACAACCCCCGGAAAAAAAATTCCCAGAAAACAACCATCTTTTCTGATCTTGCTCACCTCCTTAACGACAAATTTGGCCCAATTCCACGGCCACACATACTCCCCAATTCAACATCAAAGTGTCCACGGGTAAAAACACGTCACTTCAGAGACGAGCTCGTTCGTTTTCCCAGCTCAAAAATGTGGAAATTAGCTGGCCAAAATTGGCACCACAATTTGAGAATTTACAAACAACACGTACGCGCGTGTGCGAACCCTGCGTGCCTAGCGCCTAGCTAGCCGCTCGGATCGTATTTTTGTGTGTGTAAAAAACGGGTACAGAACAGTGACCCGATATACGTATGACGTCACACACTGACCATGCCACGACCTCAAAATATGTTTAAAGGGGTACGATTCAGTGCCACGGATTTATCATTGCTAGTATCCTAACACCCATTACATATTTTCTTTAGAAGTTTCAATTACCTTTAATTAGTTACAAGTACATATACCTTTAAAATTGATGACAGTTAGGACAATTTCTCTTTCTTAAAGATTTTGCACTTTCTTTTTCTTTATATTGCTTCAAATTTTAGTTAATGGGCAGCATTATCCAATCAAATTTCTTTGATGCTTTATTACTAACAGATTTTTTTTATCAATAGATCATCAATAAATTCAAATCGTCATTTTTCTTTTTAAAACAAACGGATGTACAGTTGATTGAGCAAAACACAAAAAAATACCTCTCACATGTTTTCATCTGTCAATATTCTTTTTTTGTGTCTTTCCTTTACTTTTCTTTACTTTTCTTTACTTTACGCTGAAGTAAAAGTAAGTTATTGGTGACCGTAAGGTAATGGCAAAATTCTGCTAGATGCACTTCACAAATCTGCTAGATTTAACAAAAATCAACTAAATCACGAAATACATTATGAACATAGAATTTCCTTAAACAAAAACAAAAATCATAAAATTTCTTTAAAAAAAAAATATTTTTTTTTAAATTTTGCAAGTGTCTAGACTGGCTTGCAATGGTCTAAGTACTTTACAGCGCGATGCGTACTAAAATACACGTCAAAGAACCTAACATTTTTTTTTTTTTTTCAAAACTAATCAGCTACATTTTTCAAATCTGCCATATTTTTCTGTCAGTTCCCCCATTTACAGAATTCTGCTAAAAATCTGCTAAAAAAATTCATCTGCTACATTTTCTGTCAAAGCGTTTTTTTTCGAAAAATTCTGTCAAATGTAGCCGAAAATCGGCTAAAACGGTCATCTAGGTATCGTCATTTTGCAACAGCAAGCTCCTTAGTTATCAACAGAGGGCGACATTGATTGAATACAAGTCTTACTAATGGAGATCAATGAATACAGATTAATTTTTTTTCCCCAGGCGAGTCACCGTTTTGTTGCCAAAAAAGTTGGTGCAGTGCGCCCTCTATGTCACTACTTTTTTGTTTCCTTCAGTTAAGTTTAGCGCCTCCATTAATATTTGGATAAAAATCAAGCACACAAGAGTTTTTGATTGAGTTCAGTAACAAAAAACTGAGATGAATTTAGTTATTTGGAGATATTCGTTATTAGGATAAATAAACAGTTAAAACATTTGAGGGAAAAACACCTCTTAAGGTGGTTGAAAGAGGGCGCTATTGTTAGCATGAATCTAGAAATTATTAATTATTCGGCCAACATAAAAACAAGCACATGGACATAGCAATTTGTACATTGTATAAGTATACTAAGAAAATACAACATAAAATTAGAGAAATGGAACAAACATTAAATGATATGAAAATCGGACATGGCAAGCTGCAAGATTTAAGAAGGAATGAGGGGAGGAGAGATGAGCGCTGATGGGGGGGGGGGGGGGAGTTGGAATTAATTCAACAGAGTATGTTGTCTCTGACAGCAGAAGAAACAATACAAAACAAAAATTCAAGAAACCATCACCTTGCCAGAAAACATCCCCCCCCCCCCCTAGGTGGGTGAAGCCACTTCAAGCATAATTCGATTTTATCATTGCAAGACATTTAGGTTTTCTGACTTTTTTTCCCACTTAATTTAGAATTATTACTATAATGATAAATTTGAAGAAAACAGTCGATGAAAATGGACTTCAGTGGATTAAAACCAGGTTTTTTTCGATCCATAGTTCAGGTTGTGGGTTCGAGTCCAGCCTGGGGTCATGGTGCGTGTGCCCTTGGGCAAGGCGCTTTGTCACTCATTGCTTCTCTCCACCCAGGAGTAAATGGGTACATGTGAGGGCAGAGTTGTGATTGAATAAGCTTCCTTGCGCCTAACAGGCTGCATGGAGCTGTTTACTCCCCAGGGAGCTGAGATGGTGTCTGGAATGTTTCATGGGCCCAATGAGCAGGGGTAATAATGATGTAGAGCCTTGAGTGCTAGAACCTGGTAGATGCGTGCACTTTATAAATGGTTGCAGAGTGTTCTTCAAAATGCCTCAGAATAGTTGTTTTTAAGTAAAATATTTCACTCAAAAGCCAAAATAATGTGACACATAAATGTGAATAGTTTGTTACCACTTTTATTATTCTACACTTTCATATGTTGTTTATACTGTACACATTAAACCGCAATTTAGTAAGAATACTTCAATTTCCATATTAACATATTAATTCCGTTAAAAACTAGGCGTGTCTAAAATTCACAAATAACGCACGCTGCCTAAAATATTGTGGCCAGGATACATATTTTCTCGGGATGCTTAAAATCTGCCATGTTCTATTTATCCAACTACATTTTCTTATTTTTCTAATTTCAAAATCCTGCCCCACACCAGATTAAATTATTGTAATAAATACAGATATGTAATATATGGTCCCTTGTCGACATTTGTTAAATTTGTTTTTTAAAGACTCTGAGTAAAGATTCAGGCTGTACACAAAGAGTAAAACTACACAGATTATAAACACATCATGTCGTTAAAATGTTTGAGATCTGAAGAAAACAGTGTTCTTTAAATTTAGACAGAATGTTAAAAAACAAATGTTGACCTTTTGCAGATTGACGTTTCCGGGGAATAGCGTTAAAAATCTATTTTAAGAAATCTTTAAATTTGAACCCACTTTCCAATTCTACAAATGACAATTATAATTTACGATCAAGGTTTTCTTTTTTTCAATGTCGCCAGGGTGATTGTAAATGGCGCCCTCTATTGTTTGTAGTCACTTTCTCAAACAAGCTCTATATACAAAGACATTCTATACGGAACACAATGCTCCAATGACAATATTATGAAGGGCCTCTTTTGTTGCTTTCACTGACAAAATGTAATACTAAATTTAAAAGCCAAGAAATTTCTAGATAAAATTAGTTGCCTACACATCCCTGTACTGATGTGCAATAGAAAGACTGCAAAGTGCCCTTCTTCTAATATTTCTCTTTTGTTTTTAACTCTAGGGGAATAGCAGGAAGTAAGATCAATTACCCAACTGTTAAATTATAATAATCTGAGAACACATTTACAAACATTAAAGGGATTATACAGCATTTGCAAACATCGATAAACAAAACTACCAAATTATTATGAAACACCTTACTGGACTGTTAGTGAGTGACAGTCTAAAGCATCCTGTAAAATCAGTGAACCGGATGCCATTTTCAAGAAAAGTGGAATTGTATCAATTTCCAATGCTGGTTGGCCGACCAGCTTGGAAAAACCTGGGTTTTTTTTTTCAAGTATTGCCCCTAATTTACCAAATTTATTCATTCCACATTTTGTTTGCAATTGGTTACACATTCGTGAACTTTTGCAATCAAGCTAGACTGGTTTCCTGACGTGACGACGTCTATAAATTGCTCCGTTTCATCTTAAGTGGGGTCAGGGCGCCAGACAACATGTACACTATTGTTTTTCCTGGTTTTTCCAGCATCTACGTACACAAATCTGCAAACAAGTCAGTGTAACAATATTTACAATAAAATACTAGCCCCCAAAAGCCATCCATTTCTGAAAATTACAGCAAAAGCAAATGTTGTATATTCCCTTTAAGACCATGAAGTAAAAGCATAAACAATCTTGAAGATTTCATCAAATACCACCTCTCAGCTGATTAAATCTGTTAATTTCATTTTGATACTGTGAACTTTTAAAAAAACCATTTAAACCTAATTATGTATAACTCTGAAACCTCTTACAAAAAGATATCACACAATTTAAATATATCTTTGAGTAAATATACAGCCACATGATTATAAATGACCAGATAGATTCGAAACGCAATACAAATATATACATATCAATTCCAGTGATAGCCCAATGAAAGGTAGATTTTTTTCAAAAATAATTCTGTACCAGTAATTGAAAAATAAATATATACTTGTAATAAAAGCTAATAAATGAAAGAAGGAATGAAAGAAAATTATCTGAATGCCATAAAGAATCTATACACAACTGATTAAAACACATTTCTTTGTTAATCTGAATTAGATGAATACGGCCATGGTAAAAATTTAAAAACTGCAATTCTCATTTTTTGAAATATCGAGACTAATCCATTTTTACAGCTGGTTTTCAAAGGAAAGTACACTAATTTTTCTTTTTCTTTACATAGGAGGATAAATTTACAGACAAAAAATTACCCAATAAGTTACCATGTTATAAGGTCAGTAAACAGACATATTTCAATGTTTATAATTTGTTAAAATATGGCTACTATGCTTAGATATGGTAGTTGTGTAACATGGTTTGGAGGTTTCCCCTAACAATTTCATTTTCGCTAAGTTTTGTGTCATTCACAATAACATTTCACTCATACTGATAGATATCAACTACTATTAACAGATATTTGTGACCTTCAACTCACGTTTGTGTCTAATTGTATATCAGGATAACAACAAATAATGCTTAATTAAAACCCTAACCCTCCTCAATCCTCCAAAATCCTCCTGGCGGTTTTGAAAGATTTTGGAGGATTGAGGATGAATGGTGTTTGAAGAAGAGGAGGATTTTGGAGGATTGAGGATGAATGCATTTTTTAGAGGCAGGACTGTCTGATGCTTTTGAAGGATTGAGGCGCTGGGTATCCTTCATTTGAACATAAGTGCACAATTTTGGAGGATTTTGGAGGATTGGGGATGGTTCCTAGCAAAAAGGCCTTAGGGGGTTAGGGTTTTTAATCAGAGTGTTCCCACTTTTTTTTAAGTCTAAGACTGAATGCAGATATCACCTTTAAACTCAATTTGTGTAAAATGTCTTTTTCTTTTGATTCAGCATGCACCTTATAAATCTGATTGCAATCTATATGCATTACTATATGAGGCTATTAAAAGTTTTCTTCAAGCTTTATTCCACCACAAAGAAATTGCTGCCATTGCAGGAATGGTGTAGTCTGTATTAGGCACTTGGAGTTGCTATATGATTATTGCTTACAGTTTGCAATATTAGAATATCAGAATGATCTGCGTTCCAAAAAAAAAAATATTAAGAATGCTTTGATTTTTTGAACACATTACTAAAGAAATACTGTTTACTTGACCACTGTGCCCTACATTCTAATCTGATAGTGGTTCCCTTGCGAATTATTTCCCATTTGATTTGAATAATCCCAGAGAGCATGAGTATACTTTGGCGAGGTTTTTTAAAGATTAAATCACAAAAAAAATATTACGGAAAGGATACCTGCAAGTACTGTGACCGAAAGCATATATGCAAGACCTTTACCTAAAACTCATTCGTTAGTCAGATAAAGGATTTGAAAGAAGGAACATGCATAACCTGATTACAAGGAATACATTGAAAGACTATTAATTTCCTGATTTGAAAAGAGAAACATTGAAGATGAAGTTTCTTTCATATGGAGTGTCACTGTTTGAGTACTGAATACCAAAAAAGTTGTTCCTTTGGTGTACACATAATGCCATGTTCCACAGTGTAAATATTACATTATTGTTAACATTCAAAATGAGTGTTCCAAGAATGTCAACATGAATAACCCAGTGACTGGGGTCGTGGGAACCCTCAAGAACATCGAGGAAGTTAGACTAGTTTCCAGGCTGTACATTGTACTTCTGGACCCACAAATGACCCGGCAGTGTACAATATCTCATGGGCCTACAAGAGTATATCAGCAGTATCAGACTTGAATTGAGACTACACAGGGTACGCTATCAGCAGAGCATCTATGGACCTTGCTCATGACACATATATGACTGTTTCACTAATCTGTTTAAACATGTACAAGGGAGTTACCTTTTGTAACTTAATTTGTTACCTATTAAACAAACCTCCTGGTAGTGTAAGGCTATACAGGGCGACCCTACTTCAATAGTTGTTGCATTAGTCACCACACAATTTTTCATTTGTCTAAAATTTAAAAAAAAAAACAAAGAATTAAAATGATCGATAATGTAAAAAGTTTAAAATTATTTCATTTCAACATTAAGTACAAGTGCATTGCATTCAGCCATGATGACACTCTATAGAAAGTAAACGGCTTAAAGCAGACAACATGACATCAATGCCGTCCGAAAATTGTATACTGCCAACAGAGGGCTCCCTTCAGGAATGTTACGATTAAAGGGTGAAAGTGAAGAATTGTTAGGGTGAATATCTTCTGTTGGATAAATGTTCCTCTTGGATAAATACAGCAAATGCAATCACAATAGACAAGCCTTCAAGGCTGCTGTTGATATTAAAAAAAGTCTTCATCCAGACGCTACCACTAATAAATAATCTTCATTTACATCACGTATTTCAAGGCATTTAAAATCTCACCAAGGTTTATCATTGCTAAATATATACATTCACACGACTGTACAAATTCACACACATGCACATATGCCTGAAGAAAACTTATAACTGATTTACTTGTATGTATTTCTTATGTATTCGTTCGTCATCGACGGCATACTTAACTTGAAGACATCTGTGGGCAATTTACACACTTATGCGGACATGTACATGTGCGTTTGGTGCATATTGATTTGAAAACATGCATGATGGTGTGGGCGGATAGTATCACGTTTCTCCGGCCCAATTCCATGAATTCGCTTTGCCAATAAATAAAAAAGAACAAGTCAGGCAGCAAAAAATACTAACCTTTTATGAACTCAGTTAGGATATAACTAAAACGATCCTAAGAATCTCAGTCATTCATTATAATCATGATCACGACTTTTGAATAAAAATAGTCCGACCTTACATTTATGAAATATTAAGTATAGCTCCTTGTGTTCCCCTAGGCAATATGTGCATCTTGATCAGAAGGTCTGGTTCCCTTGCATACAAGTACTGTCAAGCGTTGTCCACTTGTAACGGGACAGTTGACAAGACACGTATTGTCTCCGGAAGCCTTTCAAGGTACACACTAGCTAGGATCATCTCAGTCTGGTTCCTCTGCATATACTTAACCTTTGACTTCTGACCTGTGACCTCAGAACAGAAGGGCAGCCGAGCTGGACCCGGCTGATGAGAAGTAGTCCCCCGTGTCGTCGTAGGTGATGGCAATGTCGTCCGGGTCCGGTTCTTCCTCGGCTGGTGGGGGCGCTGTTTCTTCCTTGGGCTTTGGCGGTTCGGGCTTCTGCTGCCTGATTGACATTGGGCTGAAGTTCTGCAGATCCTTGGGTGTGTAATTCTGAAGACCTGGGGTAAAGTAGGCAAAATGGGAGACATCTGATCAGTTGTATCAAGAAAGAAGATTAGTTCCCTCCTACTGATAGAATGGACTGATCCAGTAAGCACTGCCCCATGGTGTACTGACCAATCACAGCCGTGATTTATGTCCGACGTGCGTGCACAGAAGTCCGACATGCGTGCACGCGCGTATGATGCGCACGGCAGGAAAATGCAGCGTGGCATTGGAGACGAGCACGTGGTTATTTGCCCACGTGCGCGCGCAGTGGGCGGGGCTTACTGGATCGGTCCATTGTCATAACTGTATTTTGGTGCCTTGTTTGGTTTTATGCTAATACAAATTTCCATATTCCTGAGCAAAACTGTGATGTCACTCCGGGCAGAAACCTCAATGTTACATTTTGGATATTTAGCTGTCGTGAATTTCCTTTCTTTGGCGATTCGTTGTTGTCTCAGCACATGGTAGTAAGCAAATGAGCAAACTTTTCTCACAGATGTTTTCGCTGAGCAGATTTTGGGTTCACAATTTGAACAGGAAACCCCTAAACTAAACAGTGTCTTCCTGAAATGACATCACAGAAACAGCACCCTCAGTTGTCCGGAAAAACATGGAATTAAAAAAAACCCAAATGTTTGAAGAAGTGCACTCTTCAATACACAAAAAGGACATCAAATAGTTTTCATACATTTAAGAGGTGTTGCAAGTTGCACAAAATGTGTGCAACAAAAGAAAAATTCATTGCATGGACCCTTTTAAAACCCACCATATCTATTTCCGTCAGCCAAGGCACAGTAACTCCAGTTTTGCCACCGCTTGTCATTCTACCAATATCAGCCCAATTTATGTTACTGTTAAAACCCGTCACTTGATAGATTTTGACAGTTAGGGTCTCTCAGTTTCGGCACTGAGAGAGGGAGGCTTAAAGGGAATGTACATCATTGGATTTTGCTGTAATTTTCAGAAATGAACTAATTGAGAGGTTAGTAGGCCTATAATATATATCAAAAATTGTTACACTGACATTTTTTACACTGACTTGAAGCAGTAGTTGAAAAATAGTTAGGTTTTTCCAACGCTGGTCGGCCGACCACCGTTGGAAATGTTTACAAAAATACCCTTTTCTTGAAAATGACTTCACACCAGGTGCCATAATTTTACAAGATGCCTGAGACTGTCATTTACCAACATCCTAGTAAGGTATTTCATAAAAACTTGGTAGTTTTATTTTTCGATGTTTGCAAATGTTGTATATTCCCTTTAATGTAGAACATTCAGCAGTGAGCAAAACAGCATGGCATTGTACCAACAAAAGAAGAGGCAAATTTTTGTACAAGAAACATTTGCAGGAATGGCAGAACACGTTAATTGAAAGAAAACTACGAGATGCTGAGAAATACAGGCTTGAATTCAATTCTCATACGTAACAACCACATATTCTTACCGGTATTTCTTGTGGAGGAGTAGATGTAATGTAAAGTCGGAAGCTAATTGAGCATATATCTCAAAATGCCATTGATCCATGGAATTGTCCATGGTTTTGTCATGGACAATTACCTGGACTTACTCTGCAGAATTTTATAAACCTGAACCACTGACGTACGTCAATGCAGGGACTAAAAGGCACTGACTAATGACATCAGCATGCACAAAGTGTGTTTAATTTTTTTTTTTGGCCAAAAAATTCAATTTGATATTCCCGTCTGCTTTGCCAGGATATTGCTTTCCAATCAAACCTTCCAAGGGGATTTCACAATTAAATTACAAAATCCCTGATTCAAGAGAAATACGAATGGAAGATTGCTGTACTTTTACAATTTACACCGAGGTGCAGCGTTCTCAAAACAAGCATCTTGTAAAGTCTTTGCTTTTTTAGAGCAGGTTCAGGAACTTTATTTTTCAATTTTTATTTTTTTTATTTTTTTTTATAGCAGCAGCTAATTGTGATAAAAAATTCATCTGCTTAAAGTTCCTGTATAAAACATCTGGTCAAAATCTGATGCAATATACTGGTATATAAGGTCATTTTCTACAGATGTTTTGAAGCTTATGACATACATGTACACATGCACATGTATATGTATGTATTGTCTTTAGTTTTTGCTGCCGCATGGTTTGTTCTGTATGAATTTTTCATGATAGCTAATGTGTTCTTATTAGAAACCAATGGCAAGCGGCTGATCAAATGGACACGTCTTTGACAATAAATTTCTTGTTCATCATCATCTTATCAAGTTTTTGAAATTTTGTAAAAAATAATTTGATAAAATCATTTTTTCAAATTTTGAACTTAAATCGCTTGTAATTTGATACAGATGATGTCATGATGGCGTCACACAATTGTTCACAACTTCAAACCAAGGATCAATTTCATACCAGGTTTCATCATTATCCCTAGAATTGTTTGGGAGATAATCTTTCTTTGTTTTAATTTGAGATTTCTGTTTGCATTTGCATTTCATCTAACTTTCACTTATTTATCAAGGTATGGTCTATCAAATAACAAACAAAGTATGAACATGGTTGATCATTTTGTTCACGAGTTTTAAGTGAATAAAGTAGGTCATTTTTTTTTAACTTAAATCGCTTGTGATTTAATTTGATACCTGATGACGTCATCATGACATTCACACCTCTGGATCAGGGTTGATCTTTCTTTATTCAAAGTCTCTTGTTTATACCATGTGTGCCATTTGGAAAAAAAGTCGTGGAGCATTATTGTCCGGGATTTTTTTTTTTTTAAACAAATATGATATTAATTCATGCAATATCAAAACGGTGATTGGGCTGTGCCCAATCACCCAATAAATTATAATAGAATTACTTAAACAAATTATAAATGTACCCTGCAACACAATTTTCAGGTACATGTAGGCGGATGACAAAACACCACTAGATTTTCATGAGACTAATGTAACAAAAAGGTCTTCAGAAGCCTTGGGAAATTGCTCTTTGCAATCCAACCTAGCAGAAGCACAAAAGGTTCATTCATTCGTTTGGAGGAGTCAAATAATCTGTCTGGACGTACGTCCTCAAGCTTCTGCTGACGTCAAAGACACGTCTTTCCATCTCAAGAATGTTTTCAATGTATCTTACCTTCATGAGCTAAGACGTTATCGATGCCGCTCTGCGAAGACGGCGTGGAATCGATGTCTTCATCGTCGTCATCCTCTTCGTCTCTGGCCTCTTGGCGTGGCAGGTTACCAACACGCGGGTTACCGTTCAGGCCTCGTTCCTCGCGCAGGTACTCGTTCAGCAGCGAGGTTTCGGATTGGTACTCGTAGGTTTCGGTCATGTTGGACTCGTTAAAGGAGATGTTCAGCTAGTTATAGAAAAAAGAAAGAAAAATTCTAGTCGGCATTTGTACGTTTTATGGAATAACTCAAGGGACTTTGGGCTAGCTATAGAGTACAAAAATACAGTTGAGAGGACACATTAGATAATTCACCCTATCTGCATTTTAAGTTTTTTTCACTTTGCATTGGATAACTTCCTGGTTGAGTTAAAACCGAAAGGAACAGCCAACTAAAAAATCCCATTACTGCATATGAGAAATGTTTACCAAATTCCAGAAACTAAAAATGGACACTCTCATAAATAATGTCAGAAAATTTAAACAAAGTAGTCTTCACTAATGAACCTGTGACAACTAATTCAATATTATGAGTAGAATTGTTTAACTTTAATACAAATTTATGGGACTAGTCCAGTGTACACTAATTGTCAGTGATGATTCCTAAAGTGTAAAGGAAAACATGACGTTTCGTGAGTACATGCATATATTTGCACAGGATTCATCTTGTAAAAAAACACATCTATATGTATTAGTAATTGAAATGAAAGGACTTCCTTATTGTTCAAGTAAACCATGTACATTTTCACTTCAAATGACTACCATAAACTGTTGAAAATTGCAGAACTCATTAAAAAACCCAATTTATGTATGAAAATATTCAAGTAATTATACTAAAGCATTTTCAGGGTTGAACCAATATGCTCTTCATCACTGAACAGCTCTAAAAACTCAGAAACTTCAGACAAAAATCAATAATTTAGTTACACACTGTTATTATTGTTGACACATGTCGCTGTGCATACCGGCAGCATAGCATATGTTGTCAAATTTGATCAATGGGATTTGGATTCTAAACACTGTCCACCATTTTGGAAGCTGTGATTCTCGTCTGTTTACATAAATACTGAGCGCCAGACAGCTGCGAAAAATTGGTAGTTGTATTTATTCACACAAAAGACCGCCATCTATGAACATACATGTACGTACATGTACACATGCGACCATCATGTTTTTAAAATGTGCTGTGCACACTTGTATGGAAAGAAATTAATACTACAGGTTACTACTCAGTGGTATTTTGTAGCATACATGTAGGGGGTGGTTAGGGTTTTAATAGAATTTACAGAATTTACAGAATTTCAGCAGAGACTGATTTATTTATTTTCCGTGCTCTTAACCTTTGTTGACAACAAGATACCCTATCATGGGATATCAGAAGTAGTAATCATAACCCAAAAAAAGCAACAATAGTACATGTAATTACAATTTCAATTGTAAGTTCAATTGTGGCCTAATCAGATACTGTGCATGCATGCCTAATTTACTTGTAGTCTCTGCCATTATCTCATCCATCACAGGGTATTACCTTGGTATTACTATCAAATGGATGAGTGTGAAAAACGGAAAACCGTTCAAGGACACAGAGACTGATAGAGAGAGAGCTGATGATATTCTAATGAGCAATGCTCCTAGGGCAGTGATCTCAAGGGACGAAGAGAAACCAGTGCAGAGGAATGAATCAAGCCAGACTGTGAATTTACAAGCACATAATTCTTTTGTCAATCCATTACAATTGATATGAATTCCCTCTGGAATATCGCTTTAAATATAAAACAGGTGTCTGGGTGACTATTGAACACCATGGACAATTTGTCATTTACATTTTTAAGAATTAGGCCTTAGTGAACAATATGATCAGCTTTTTTCCCCTAATCAAACTAGCATACAAACATGTGTTTGGGGCCTACGTATCCTTATATGCACAGGTAAATAATTTACGTACATTTCATTACTTTTTTTTTTGGCACGGCTATGATACAAATTACAATACAGTACCTGTTCATTTGTGCAAACCAAGTTTGACTTTCGGAAAACGTTAACATTCCCGAGTCACTCCAACCCAATGAGTACTAGTGTAACCATGGAACTATTGAAAAAACAGATCTATGCATTCTGTGCAAGGTTGATCTTTCAGTCAAAATCAGTCAAGTGACTGTTTTTAACAGTTAAAAGCTCTCGGCCTACATAAAGCGTGTAACCTGATACAGCTATGCTTGGCTGAAGGTGATTGATAAGACAGCTGTGCCTACCACTTGTCTGCTTTTGTCTATTGACTGGATTTGACTAGTGAAAGTGCTTGCTTAAAATATGATCTGACTGTGTAGCCTGTGTTAAAAGTAAAGCGGGGGAAGCGGATGGAAATTTTGACTGTCAAAATTTCGTCAGTGACTGTTTAAAAATAGTTGGAGGGAGCATCTCCATCATCAACCCAAAATACATTTGGTCTCAGTCTCAGAAAGGTGAACTTTACATTAATTTCCGAAAAAGCTGCAGCAGGTACAATGTATTCTTTTGATGTGTACGTAAGTACACATGTACATGTACATGGACACATGTACCGGTATGTGTAGTCACTCCGATCCTTACTCTTTGAAATGTTGAACTTAATTCAATTGTGTACTGTCAGGTGGTTCATCGGTGGTTTCCCTGCCACAGCCCATTTTATTTTGCATAATTCCATCCTTTGAGCACATGATTGTTGATTGAAAAACTATTATGGTACATTGCAAAACATCCACCATGCATGAAGCAGGGTACATGTTGACCGTTTACTACCAATTAGGGGAAACTGGAAAGGTATCGGTACATGTAACATGGAGAAAGGGGAACAAACCATGGTTGAAGCACCTGCTGGTGGGTCTGTGGGTCGGGAAATCCATCTTTTTTTTTTCAGTTTCCAATCAATTTCAATTGCTTCCTGGATATACCCAATAAGGAAGTGAATTTGAACAAGTACAAAATATTGATGTTCTCTGTACATGTACATGAATGGTACCATTTACGCACTAGGCGGCTTCGTACAGTATAACAGTGTACTTTTGTACTCTATGACCACATGTAGCTGAAGTTCCCAAGAAATGCAGACTCCCCCTTGGCAAAACCTAAACTTTATTAAATTTGATTATAAAAAAAATCAACCCAGGGTCAAAAAAGGGTTACCAAACCTATCGCATGTAAAGTTCTATTAATTAAAGCCTTCAAATATTTGAAATATTTCTGGACAAATGGATTATGGAATGACCCTAAACTGACTGGCCAGAGATGAACTTGGATTGTGTGTGACCGGTGACCTTATATAATATCTCTTGAACGGAACCCTGGGTAGCGATTGTTCAACTAACAAAGACGAGGAAGAGAGATGTGTGATTTAAAACATGTTCTGTAAATGACTGAATGATCGCCACGGCAACTGCGTGATTGCTCATGGATGCCTGTGGTACTGGGTACTAACATGTACTGATCCGCGTGTGTGTACAAATGTATGTTGTACACGTACACAATGTACATTGTTGTGTAAGGTTGAACTTTCCTGTTTGCTAAATGGTCACACCCAGGATTGTGTGAAAAGCACTATACATCACTCCGAAGCTTTTTCACAAATTGGACGTGTGTGCGGGTATTGAACCTATCAGTAAACCCTGATTTAGTTGTAAATGTATCAGATAAAGTTGAGGATAATGAAACTTGAACAAACACAATGAGTGTTAATTGGATTGGCTGCAAGCTAATTTGCTTACATCCATGTACCACCTACATGTACATGTACCATGGAGGTAGAATTACCATGCATTATGATTTATGCGGAGGATTGTACAATGTTCGAATGTACACACACAATACGCCATGCATTATGTGGAGGAATGTTCAAAGCTTACACAATGTGCCCCTGAAACTCCATGTACATGTACATGCGTATCTGCTTCAGGCTCATGCAAGCACAGCCCCTTGGGAAACATCAATTTCATGGCCTTGCATTTGACAAAGAATCTATAGGCAGTTAAACTTACAAGTTCAACTTACATGAATCAATCATGAAACCTACATGTACATGTACATTAATGTAACAGTCAAGTCAAGAAATGTACCAGGTACAGTGTAAGTCCTGTACGTAACCAGCCCCCCCCCCCCCCCCCCCAATATTGTGTGTGTGTAATTAAAACATAAGCTGATATTCTTCTAAAAAATATATTCTTCATTTTTTTCATCAATTTCATATGGCCTGACTCCATTACTCTGAGCATACAATGTACCTGTATACATGTCCATGCATGTAAGCTGTAGTGTTCCATCATGAGGTTTAAATTAACTAAAACTGCCTCTATAAGTACAGCAAATTGTGGAACATTAAGATTTACATCTATTTGTAAAGCAAAAATCTTAATGTTTTTTTAACACTGGATTTTAAATGGTGAATATTGGGCATTATATGAAAGACACAAATGTGCCTCTAAAAGTCTGAGTCTGAGAGGCTTACAGGTAGTATCAGTCACTACATTACCAAACATGTGACTAGAGTCATTGGACTCTGACATTAATCTATCCAAGTCACGAATCATACAACTGCAAATTGCAACTACATGACATGTAACGCACTCGTGCCTGAAGGACATACATTTAATTGCTTGTGGAAACATACAGCCTGCGCTAACGAAATAGTTCTTCTGGATAAATAAATAAACAAGATGTTCCAATCACTTATTGAAATGCCTGTAAATAATAAACGTCTCATTCATCATACCATTAGGTTGGACAATAGTCAGGTGGTCTACATGAAAGATTCAAGAGATAAGGTTGAATGTACAGTGACTGCAAACTATTTGATGTGCATGTACATCATGTACATGCATGGACCAATAAATGTATAATTTCTTAATTAACTGTACAAATAAGTGTTTTATATCAAATAGGCCTACATGTAATGCCATTCTTCCATTAAAGTCAACAAGTAGCAAGTGGTTCAACCCACGGCGGCCGGGTAACGTGTGAAGACGGCTTTAATATGGCACCGTCCGTGCACCCGAATGGAGTGTGATTTAATATGCAAAACTATGCAAATTAGACACATGCGCATCAGTGTTTTCAAAACCAGTCTTCGAATGCAAAGCTGTAATACTGGTTGCATGAATACAATATATGGCCGAGTAAACTGTCCACCAACCAACCCACCAACCAACCAGCCAGCATCT